CGATATTTTGTTCGTGTATAAAAGCGCCAGTTTTCGTTTCACTTTCTCGTGTATAAAAAGCAAACTGACCGATTGGCATTGGAGACCACATTCGAACATAGTTACATTGGTAACTCTGGTCAGCCCAAATGAGTGGTGCGGGGGATGGGAGTAAATCCCCCCCCCAGGTTACCAGGTTTTTCTTTGGCAATTTAAACACAAGTAAACATCTCACGGTTATCTCCCAAAATCAACGTACTGTGTTTCTTTGCAAGAAAGGAGTTCAATAAAGTAAATATAATAATTTGTTTGTTTCTTTTTTTATTTTATTGAGTCAACTTTCCGGAAGGAAGCCGAGGTCACATAAAAGCTGCCTGGGGTAATCAGTTCAGTTCATAAATCTTAAAGATGTGGAGGGGTTTCGAACTCAAGACCATGTGGACGACGACATTAATCACTTGACCAACACCACTAATGCGCGTTGACCGACTAGCAAGAACATATGACATTACTGAACAACAGGAATTCGGGTGGAATTCGGGTTCTTGTTTTGATGAAGTAGATTATAGTAAATTTTAGTTGTAAACGAATGCAATAATTAGGATCTGATGAAATACTATGGTTTACTAATGATTGTTTCAGACACACATGTGACACCAGAATGCACTTCGCACTTACCGACAACCGTCGGGGCTGCTGCCGCTGCCTCGGGTACCTCGACCGGTCGAACTTCGGACACAAGTTNACACAAGTTGTACGCGTGTTGGCTCGGGTTGTTCGGCCAATTCCCGTTCGGTGGACACTTCTTCGACCCGAGGCAGGGAGATCTTTCGATCCAGGATGTTCGAGGCCACTGCTCGCTCATCGTCGGTCCAAACCGGACGAACAGCGGTCATGCTCGGATGAATCACGTCGGAACGTTGAATTGCGTGCAGCGCATCTGCCAAGCGATTACCTGTGAAAAAGAGTTGAAGTTTAACAGCCCATAGAAATTATCACTAGGCATATCGGTAATCACCTTTGCTATCACGTACTGATGCTAATACATCACGGGAATAAGCCCACGCTATGACAGTAACAAAGCATACATTAATTTGTGAATGTTGTGAACATTTGTGACAATTTCAGGAGCCTGTTTTTATCAGTTAAGCCGACCGCGTTGCCTTCAAATTCGATCGCAGACATAACACTACCTCTATTCTCACACTGATGGCATTGAGAACAATGGGACATTCATTATCCCTACGTACAAGTGAACCGATATCCGATACCATTGAATGAATCCGATAGCTGGTGATACGATGCACTGAAAACACGAGAAGGGCGAGCGTTCCTGAAGCAGTGTTGGGGGTCGACGATCAGCCAGTATTTTCGAAAAGGTGTGTTCTATCATGGGGACAATGTAAGGGAGCGTCGAGAGCGATACAGTAAATGGAGCAGAACGGTGTTATTTCCCAAATGAGGTCATAAACATGGGAAACTCCGACTGTTTTGGCAATAAAAAGTGATAGCACANGATACGAGATAGTTACCGAGTAATACTCAATCCTGGACTACAGAAATGTGCCTCTAGAAAATGTAGATGGAAGAACTCATGAAATCCTTATACGGTTGTCAGTTTTCTCCCAAACAGATATGCCAGATGCTTTAATTCAGAGCATCAACAATAATCAACACACTATGGGGATTAGTCCGGGAAAATTTCCTCCAGTTCGGTTTACATCCGGAATCCTTCAGTTCACATTAGACAACGCGGTATCTGGGTTACGCAGTGCTGTGGCNTGCTGTGGCCTATCAAAACGATAAGATTGTGTTTAGAACAACAGAAGAAGTCCATGATAACAATTTGAAGAAACATCTTGAGTGATTCCTGGAGAAAAACGTGTGCATCAAATCATCTAAATGCATGTTTGGAATAATGGAGTTGTAATTCCTGGGATTCACTGTCTATTCCAAAGTATATCGACCGGACCCCAACCGACTAAAACCTCTAATGAATATCGCGTCCCTGAAAGTTCAACATCATCTACGATCAATTATGAGACAATATTATTTAATATTATTCACGATTGTATAAGTTTTTTCATTCATTAGAATCGGAGAACAAGTTTATATTTATTATACAGATTAGTGGTAATTCACAGATAAACGAGAAGTATGTAATACGAATGTGCACAGCAATTTAATCAAACAGACGATCACTTAATCGCTTTTGAATACACAAATTAGATGCAGATTTTGATCGATTCTCAAGCCCCTTCTTGGAGCTCACAACTTACCCAATGCGTCCTGTTCTGTCAAACCCGCGTCCACAGCTTTCTGTTGCCACAAGCCAAGCATCAGAGCTGCTCTGTCCTGTTCGGTCATCGGCCCAGTACCGGACTGCGTGCGTCGAATTGTGTCCAATTCGGCCGGAGTGAACTGGAGCTCGCGTGCCAGCCGTTCCCAATCGGAGCCCAACTGGCGAGCAATCTTTATCCGATCCAGTTCGGAACGGCCAAGAATCTCGGAGTCTGAATTGTGAATGAGAAGGAATTAGGTGTTATGGTTCAAGACATCCTAATTTGTTCTTTAATCTAATCCAGGGTGTCGTCCACCACTGTAAGACACCTTAGTTTGCTAAAGCGAGTATTTGTCAAATTTGAATCTAGGCTGTTCCTACGTTTGTTATCAGTCTACATTCTACCCCACATAGAGTATGCTATTTAAGCTTTAGTGCGATCGTAAGATTCTGGAACGTCTAAAAAGACTGGCCACCATAATGGTTGAGGGGCTGTATTCCTAGATTTATGTGGAAAGACTGGAATTATTGCCCAGTACCACCGAATCCCAGGAGACTTGATTTCGGTGTATCAATAATACAGAATCCTGACTACCCATGTCTTCCGCTGTTCGCCTTGTCGCCCAACACTCACCTCAGGGACACTCATTCAAATTAGTACTCAAAAATATTGACAAGAACGCTGGCGTTATTCACGACAAGAAAAGTAACCGCTTGTAAATATTTTCCATAATAAAACTTAGACTTGGTGTTATTTTTGAATTGGATTTGAATATTTTGGGAGTAAAGGAATTGGATATTCGTTCTGCCTCAGCACACCCACTGGATTTGTTGTTCGTTGATAAACGTGACATGTATGTACATGATAATGGTATTATTCGAGGTTGTATTGTTATATAGTAATATTTTTTGACTATCATTACTATCCTATTACTCATATTTTAATCTGTTCTATTTTGTACGATACTGTTTTAGAAGTTTACAAGAAGGTATCAAATCCGGTGATTGAAGAGAACAAACTTTTTACAGTAACAGGGGAGGGACTCGAACTCACAACCCAGGACAAACCTTTGGTTAACGAAAAACTAACAAAGAGCCAAAACACAGTGGAGACTTTCAGAATAATTTGATCGGTCGAAGTTATTTTTGGTTAATCTTCTGAAAAAGGCAAAATCACTTAGTTCCACTATCCGTACGTTTTTTAGGGACACCGAAAATTTAGAGTATCAAAAAGCTTGTTCACTGTTGTTGTTGTTGTTGTCGTTGTTGTCGTTGTTCTAAATCGCTTAAGACCAAGTGGTTTTGAATGATCACTTTGACCTTGTAACTCTATTGCTCATATCGATTTTTTTCGATCCCAATTGATCGCAATACGATTTGAATACTTCTCAGAACGTGTGAAACGGACTCATGAGAGTGATGCTCCAAAACACGCGTAGTATGAGCGAGCATAGGTTTTTCCACGGGATCATTCTCACAGCATTACTATCGTATTTAATCAAATTCAAATTCAAGTTTTTATGATGGGAAAATTACAAAGCCGATGCTTATTGAATCCCATGTGATCTGTACACACTGAGTTCGATTGNGATTGGTAGTACAAATAAATCGCAAATTATCACTTTCATTCACCGGTGCTGAACAGAGCTGGGTGTTTCAATGCTTCATCGAGCTGTGACTTGAATGAATCGATCACTGGAGCACAAACAACTTGAGTTGGAAGAGAGCTCCGGGTAATACAAACTCTGAGACTGAGAGAGTGACTTCCACAATCTAGAAGACTCTTTTGAAGCAAAATTTTAAATCGATATCCTCTCAGGTGACCATTCCCGGGACAGTGTTAGTAGAGTACTACACAATCAAGTGTGAGCAAATGAAAGAGATGAACTGGGTTTGTCGGCTAGTTAGACAATCAGTCATACAGTTGACTAAAACGGGAGTTCGTTTGTCCATCGCTACCGGTTTGTTTACGTCTTCATGTTGAAGTGTGTATGTGCTGAATGTGTGTTGGCGACCCGAATTGGTGTCCCAATTTTGAGTTCAACCATTGGTCATGGACGCTGAAGGGCTTGGATAAAGTCCTTATGTGAAAATCACTCATGCGTCAAAAGCCGTAGCAAAATCGGTTTGGTCATCAACACCCATTCAACCGAATCAAGTGCAGTAAATGCGGTTCCCGATTTGAATGTGTACAAACAACGCACACACAAATCTAACTCTGATTCTGTTGTTGGTTGTTGATAGGTCGAAAACACCATACCTCATCAAGCTTGATTTGAAAAATTATCACTGTGAATTGGAAAGCTATCCCTATGGGCTGTGAAAGAAACGCCGGGGTTGAATCGACTTTCGTTCCGAGCACCTCATTGGTCAATTTGGTCGCACGCTTTTTCAGTTTGTACCACCATTGCCCATGCATCTTTGTGTGGCAGTTTCGGTTGCTGTCTTTCGGCTGCTCATTTGAATGAAGAATAGGAGAAAGACAAAAAAGTTGCAAGTAGTGCCGAACAAAAAATGGCGAATTTCAGTGGTCTAAGGTTGAAAAAGAAATTCAGGAGATGCACGAACGCCACTATTTACGACACTCAGCCATATCACTCAGTGTCTCTAACCATCGATTATGATCATCCCGAGGTCCACCAGCCAGGTAGCCTAACGGGACCTATGTGACCGAGTCCCCCTTGCCCCCGATTGATCACTTGAAGTTCCACGCTCTTTCTGAGTTGAAATGTAAACATGGCTAGAATTTTGTAATTTCTTTACTTTGCTTATTCATTTCGGATTCCTTTAAAACTATCTGAGTGTTTTTTATAAACGCCTGTAAACGATTGATCAACATTATTCTTGTTTTAGCCAAATCCATGCGAACAATGAGCTCACCTGTGGTCACAAGTAGCATCGATTGACCCGGTCTCGGCAAATGAATATCCAATGTGGTTACCGGACGTTGAGGCGGACTGACATCTTCCGCTTCACGAACCAGATGACGTGGATCACGCATAAAATGTATCTTTCCAGTGACCATGGCAATATCTTTTTCTCCGTCCGTTGCGTCAGACCGTACACGAACCGGGAATGTGATCCGATTGTCCAGGAATGGTCGGACAACCAGACGGGGTTGTGTATCGGCTTTAGTGATTGGCACCAGGTTCCCGGTCATCTCGATCCAGTACGGACGATTTTCCAACAGCTGAACACAATTCAACAGCAAAATTGTTGTGTACATCATACTTGCTTGATGTATACGCAAAATGGTCAGTGATTTCGATTCCTCAACAAGCAGAGTCGTTTGACAAAGACTGTTACGTAGTTACATCATCTACTTTAGATAATAATTCTGATGAATAAGCAAAAAGGATCAAAGCCAATTGTTTCTATGGCGTTTCGCAGGTTTAGGTGAATTTTGAATTACCATTGTGAAATATCAAGTTAGAATTTTATATCGGAAGATCCCCGAACCGGTCTATTCCCACTGAGAAAGACTACCTATGTTACTGATCTGAAGTTATATGAGACATGCCAAATGATTCGTTTAGACCTCCAATCAATATGTGGCACAGAACTTGATCACCACACTTTCTAGCTTTTTAACCAAGCTTTGCAACATAAACATTGGAAAATAAAATGTTTCAGCATACGTTGACCTCAGAGCATATTCCGTTACTTTTTGATCTGGTTGGCCTGCACAGTGGCATGATTGAACTTTGTCCGTCCAGGCTAAAGGACTACTGGTGGTGACTAAAGCATTGTGAGTTTTGTAGATGAAGATTAAAAAAGTGCGAATCAAGGTCAGCACTTGATGGGAAAAGGTGTATCCGTGATCATGTGGAATTGCGTTACATGGCCAACTGAAATCAAATGTCAATCGATAAAACACTGGTTTGATGCAGTCTGATTTTACTAAGCAGCCATCCATCGAGAGAGAGAGAGATTGAGCAGTACAAGCTGTGGTTCACTCAGCAATTCCATTCTTGGAATTAATGCTTTGGCGGGTTATTAGAGCTCGAGCTTGTCGTAAGTGTCTCCGGCCCATGGTTGTTCAGATGTGTTCTTGGGGATGATGATGACGATGATGATACTTTAAAGACTAGTTTTGCTCTCATCAATAGTCCCCCGGTTTATTCATTGATATAGAATCAGGGGAACGTTCACATGTCTATGTTTACGGTGGCCAACATGCGTAGTCTAGTTCAGTGGAAGGAACCATGGCGACTTGATCAGTAAATGTTTGTAACTGTGCCTATAAACCATTCTATTTATCCACTCAATTGAGAATGATACACTGGAGAGCAAACGTGGAGAATGTCAACCGGATCATAAAACGAGACAAACTATAAATATATCAGTTGAGTCGATATCGAAGAGGAGAGTTTCCAGCATACCCAAGTCTGCGAACCTCTAACTCGGGTTTGGAATCGCCATGATTGTGGATGTAGTACGTAACTTCGGACCACTTGGGAGGTATGCTGCTAATGATTTAGTCCTACATGCCTCTAATGGTCAGATAGAATCAAAATGAATATGGGATTAGTTAGCCGCTGAGCAAAGGAGTAAGAGTACATTTATTTCAGAACAAACAATTGTTTTTCAGTGATTCCTTCTCAAATCGTTTAAACAGATTGCATACGTTGCATCCAACAGAAACGCAACTTAGTCAAATGCTTGGCCAATAGGGCGAGGGTAATATGCTGGATGATGAGCCGACGCCCATCAGAAACACCTTGCCTGAGAATGGATATCCGAAGCGTTTCATCGAAATGACTCTGATTGAACAAATACCGAAAACTGCAATGCAAACTGTGAGAAAGAAAGATTTGTTCATCGTTTCACCATTCAAAGACGATGCCGTGAGTGAGATCCTACTTCGATGTTTAAACAGAGAGATCGACAACGCCTTCAACGCTGCAAAGTTACGGTGCGTGTTTCATGGTGCTCCTGTGATCCACATTCAAAATAAGGATAAACTGTGGATGCTGACCTCATCATTCGTTGTATACTCCTTCAGATTCGTGTGTGGCGCATCTTATGTTGCTCGAACGGCACGAAAGCTATCTACCCGGATCAAAGAGCATCACCCACGCTGGTTAAGGCCAGGACAAACTGGATTAATAAATAGCTCCATCCTAGCCCATTTGGTCGACACCGGACATCAAGTAAATCCGGACGTCCCGTTCAGAGTTGTGCCCCGCACACCAAGTGCAAGGGTGTTCAACTGCGCACTCTAGCGATCAGGCTAAGAAAGTTGACCCCTGGCCTCTGAGCCGAAAAGCGTTTGGTTCAGTCATTCCGACTTCCATGGCCCGTGATCGATCAGGCCCGAGTGTGTCCGCCGCCCAGTCAGCCTGGGGCCGTAACTTAGTTAAACCAATCAAATGACGAATGCCAGTTGATCATGACAAACTCTTACCCATGATTGGTGATGTGTCTAACTGTGTGCTCTGTTTTCCAAAGCTACCTATGTAATCTGTAGACGGCTTGAGAAGGAATTACTGGAAAACAATTGTTTCGCCAAACTGTGTTGGTTCTAAATGCTGTGATGGGAATTTTTCAGACATTCATTTTATTCAGTCAACTAGCTTGAAAGATAGAAAACCGGTTTGAAAACCTTAGCCCACCCTGACTCAGATTCACTCCCCCCCCCATTCAATACAAATGAACATTTGAATGCCAGAAAGGTTTCCAAATTCCTCTTCGTTTACAGGACAGTAGAAGTGGACGTGTGAACGTGTTTATACAGTGCATTTCTGATCATCAAGTCCGTAGATCAATCAGTAAATGTTGCCAATTCACACGAGCTAATTACACACCCTATAGTATTGTTCATGTACACGTATACAGTTTAAAGAGACCAACATCGCTTACCTCAACTGGTGTACCGACTGCCACCAGCCCAAATCGTTCCAGGCACTCCAGTGTCTTGTCCTCGTTGTCATCGGTGAGACACAGGCAACGAATCTGTGCCAATTCCATACTTGTCTGACGATATCGAGCGAGACCGGATGGACTGGTATCGGACGGGCTAGATTCACTGTTCAAAGACGGTATTGTGGCTGTGTCTAAATTCATTTGTTGACGAGTGTAGATGGCGAAACGACCGACAATTGGCGGTACAATACTCTCCCGATAGATACGAGTGGCTATGTCTACGGTAGCCGCTGAGTTTGGACAGTCGATTAGCCACAATCTGAAGGAAATTTAAAAAAATTGTGGGAAATGAAAAAGATGATTCATTTATTTCTAGTTTTACTTCCTCAAGTCAACTCAAGTCAAGTCAAGGGTGCACTTTATTCATCCAATGTGGACAGAATTTTCAGTGAAAAGATTGTTATCGCCTCTGCTTTGGCATTGCACGCTATTAAAAATGAGCTTAAAGACATGACAAATAGTTACTGAGATGATAATAAATCGGACATCGAGAACGTGCAAAAACTTAAAGAAAATTTCAAAGTGGAAATTTACTTTAGACTGTGTATAAGTTCGTTTGATGTTCGCTCTCTAGAAACCAACAAACGTGAAAGGTAAGGTACAACGGAGTTGTGAAAAGCAGTGGTACGAGTATATAAAGGTTTAAATTTATTGCGGGTTACAGAAGTTGAAATGGAGCTAGATAGGGCTGTGTGTAAGGATGTGATGCATCGGACAAAATGGAGTCACACAGAAGGTATTGGTTGGTAATGGAATCAACCAGCTCCTCATAAGATACAGCTCCATATCGAGAGATGCTTTTCAGAGAGCGTCTAATTAATATGAAATCCTTAGATAGTAGACCGGGAAAGATAACGGGAGAGCAGTAGGTCCAATGGCATAAAACGCAAGAGAAAATAAATTTGGATATAATGTACAATGGCACCCTCAGATACCGAAGGCGTGAAATTTAAAAGGTCAGCTTTCTGACTTTGAGAAATGTTTTTTCTACGTGACAGGACCATTTGAGGTCAGCAGACATGAAACATCCAAGATATTTGAAGTGTTTTGACCATTCAACTTTTAAGTTCTTGATCAAGATATTGGAAACAGATGATCCAGAAAGAGTTGATAGCCTACGATCAATGGAAAACAAAACCTCAATGCATTTATTGGGTTTAAAGAAAGGTTAACACCATCGGACCATTCAGAAGATGAAGCAATAGGCCGAAAGTTACCCTTTTCTTTCTTAGGTACTGGAGTGATGCGCACATCACGCCGTGTGTTAACAAGTCTTCCTTCTGACAGACATATATTAAAGAAAAATGAAATGTTTTGTGCGCGGTGGTTTGCACATGTTTTAAGGACCACTGGGGATAACCCATCAGGACCAGTGGATTTAGTTCCACTGACAGCATTTAACTCCCTTAAAACTTGCTCTGTTGTGGCAGACACAGGAAGGTGGAAATCAAGTGATGCTTTGTTTGGAGTGGGTAAAGCTTGCACAGCGTTTTTCACAGAAGCAAAAGATTTGCTGAGCTCATTGATATCACATGAGACTGTAGCAGGTAAGGTTGAACGACCATAGAGCAACTTCAGTCCGTTCCAAAGCTGACGGCAGGA